TGAAGATATTTTTGAACAGGATGCCGATTTCCACTCTGATATTATCAATATTTTCAACAGCAAATCAGTCAAAGATGGCAAATATTTTGTAATCATTCTCCCCTTCGATCCCGAAGCAGTCATAGAAAGATTATTCTATATATTGTACAAAAATAGAAATCAATTGGACCTCTCAAAAACATACGTCGTTGAAAACAATTTGGAACTACCAATTCTAGAAATGTTTTGCTTCATATTTAATGACAAAGATATCAAAATCAAAATCTGCCAAAATATCACCAGAACACCCGATCCTGATCAAATACCAATCATATTAGACCAATTCCATTCAGGCAAAAATAATCTTCATCGTGGAATAAATGAAACCGCAAGAAGAATCAAAGTAAAATACACTTGGCAAGGAATGAGCAAAGACGTTGAAAATTTTGTCAAGAACTGTGAAATTTGTCAGAAGACTAAAATTTGTAGAAAAAACTTAAGTACCCCATTAGTCATTACCGAAACCCCAAAATCACCATTCGAGAGAATCAATATTGACCTATTTGAAGTACCGACAAGAAATTACGCACTAACAATCAGAGACGAACTTACAAAATTCACGCAAGCCTATGCAATAGAAGACAAATCCGCAAAATCAGTAGTTAATACCCTTTTGGTATATTTCCAACATTATGGTACGCCACTGAGAATTCACTGCGACTATGGACGTGAATTTGACAACAGACTATTGAAAGACCTATGTACGTTATACGACATAAAACTAACATTTTCTAGTGTTAACCACCCACAATCGAACGGTTCACTTGAGAGATTTCATGCGACACTTATTGAAATGATTAGAGTAAACTTAGCCGAAAATCCGAATGAACATCCTTTCAACGTACTTCCATATGCAGTCATGTGCTATAATACCATGAAGAATAAAACACACGGATTTACTCCATATGAACTAGTATTTGGACATACCGCCTCCAGAGCGCCCGATACTCTCTACAATGAAAAACAATTAATCTCAAAATACGTTCGTGACCTCAATAATAGGATTTCTTACTACTACAATATTGCACGCGAAAGAACACAAAATAGAAAAGAGCAAGCCAAAATTCGATTTGACAAACGAGTAAATGAAAACTTACCAAATTATCAAGTAGGCGATAAAGTGTATGTTAAAGAGTCCCAAATTAAAGACAAACTCCAGAACAAATTTAATGGTCCTTTTGAAATAATTGAAATATATCAAAATTCAGCAATGCTCGTAAATTGGCAAACAAAACAAAAGACTAAAGTAAACTTCGACAGACTTAAACCTTATTTTGATTAGTGAATCTCTTTACAGGTCCATTCTGCTGTTTTCAGCAGCAGACGCCCAACACACGCTCAAATCAATAAACAATACAATCGGAATATATTACCACGAAGAATCAACAGTTAAATTCTCTAACGACAAATGGACACTACTAGTTTACAAAGACCTCGAACCCATCAAAAGTGCTCTCGAGAAAAATAACCGAATATTAGAATCGATGCTCGATTTATTCGATACACCGAACCCTCGTATGATATCCTTCAAAGCTCAAGTAAAAACTCATATAAGTCTTCTCTCACAAATCTCCGATTCACTAGGCCTGAAGTATCGTGAAATATTCGCAGATACAAAACCCGGCCATAGAGCAAAAAGAGGAATATTCAATGGTGCAGGTTCCTTTTGGAAAGCCATCACTGGAAATTTGGATGCTTCCGATGGAGAATATTTCAATGACTGTATCAATAAAATATCTAAAGACGAATATCAGCTTGAAAACCTGATGAAAAACCAAATATCTGTAACTACTTCCGTTATCAAAAGTTTCAATAATACAATTCAAAAATTACAAATAGACGAAGCTACTTTCAACAATAATCTAAAATCAATCGAGAAATCAATATATGATATTTCTGACGATGTAGCATATGTTGAAGCTCAATTAGAAACTTTAGAATTTTGCGAATCACTAATGGAGAGCTATATGTTTCTCGAAGCAACATTAGATGATATGCTCAACTCAATCACCTTTTCTCGACTAAGAATAATACATACGTCAATCATAACACCTAGAGATTTAGTTAATTCCCTTCAGGAAATATCTCAGTCATTATCCAAAAATAATTTGCCTCTACCAACCTATCTATCAACAGTAGCTCAATATTTAGAAATTATGGAACTTGAAGCCTACCAAGCTGATTCAAAAATAGTTTTCTTGTTAAAAATCCCACTAGTTGAACCAGAAACCTATACCCTATTCCGATTATTCCCAATACCAATATTGGATAATAGAACAGGTTTCCATCACATTTTGTTAACAAATCAAAAATATATCGCGAGAGATGACGATTCAATGTTGTACGCATCATTCAAAAACTTGGACAGATGCAAATACCTGGAGAGCCGAATACAAATCTGTTCAGATGTTCTGCCATATCCAATCGATAACAACGCTATCTGTGAAGCTCAACTTCTTCGACAGCAATTCGAAGTACCGAAGACATGCCAATCCTCAGTCATCTTTGCAAGAGACTATAATGTACAAGAAATTGCCTCCAATATGTGGTTGATCGCTTTGTCAGATCCACTACCAATAACGATCAAGTGTTCCAATAGAGAAACAATCACGAAAATAGCCAATACCAATTCGATCCTCACACTACAACCAGAATGCAATGCATTCATAGGAAGTACGAGAGTACACGCTAAGTACTTGGTCAGTTCTTACAAGAATGTGACCTACAGAAATCAACCAGTCATCATCCCATACGAATGCTGCAAACACCTACCTGAAAAACAGAATGTTCCAGAGCTAAAACCACTGAAACTAAGCAAATTGGATACTGAAGACCTGAATATTGCCCAGCACAAATTGAGTCAATATTCCGATGATTTGGACAAATTAATCAATCAACCATACGTGACCAAACACATTTCTTGGTTTACGTATCTTACGATCACCCTGATAATCCTCCTGATTGTACTCTACTTCTACTGTAAGTGCAGACGTAGAAGACCAGCAAGAATAAGCATCATGGCTTCAGACAATTCACCCCCAGCTCCACCAGGAACATCAAGGACACCCTTCAGATCATCCCTTACCAGGTTCATCCCCAGAAGACGCCCAAGCGTCAACATCCGAGACCAAGAAGACGACTTCGAGCTGACATCATCCACCTCGAAAGACCTTCATTAAAAGTCGCTGCAATAAGCACCAACTTTTTATTATGATGGGGAGTTGTTATATGCTAAAATCAGTTCCCATTGTTCTCAGTAGTATCAACTTACCAGCGATAACAATTCCTCAGAACATGATCTTGACCTTGAAGTCAGCATCCGCAGAAATGGAATATAATATCTGCTGACGCTGGCATCAGCATTATTTTTAATATAAATTCATTTTATATTATATCAAAAAGTTAGTCTTGAAATAAAGCTCATTGTATAAACTTAATCTATGCCGGAATAAATAAAATTGTTTTTAAAAAGTCTATTTCGAAAACCACGAGATAACATCAATATAAAGACCTAAAAATTTTGTAACATCTGTATATTTGATGAGTTTATTGTTGAAGGATAGTGTTCTATTTGAAATGTTCAATGTTCTTTTTGCTATGTACATATATGAGGATTTGTTATAATTGAGAGATAGTTTATGAACTTGTAACCAAGAGGATATTTTCTCTAAATCACTTTTCATGTCCAATTATAATATTATTTGAATCTTTAGAGAAATAAATCAATGTCGTGTCATCTGCAAATGATTTAAGTTTTCCTCTCAATTCCAAGTTTGATATTGAATTTATGTAGATCAAAAATAAAATTGGTCCCAAGACTGACCCTTGCGGTACACCGCATGAGATGTTCATTAAGGAGCTACAAGTACCATTCACATATTGTTTTCTATTTGATAGATAATTTTTGAACCAATCATGAATTCTTCCTCTGACACCAATTGCAAATAATTTATTTAATGAAATGTTATCGTATGGTTGACAGTATCAAAAGCTTATGATTTATAATCAATCACACAACTACATTTCTAATAATGATAATAAATGATCTTTATTGTACTTACTAATAAAGTACAAAGGGCAATTGACCTAGGTCCTTCAGCCAAATTTCCCATTTCTATATTGTATATCATTGAAATATTCACTTATGAATGACATAATAATAAGAAAGTTTGGAAATACGTGATATACCAGAGTTAGATTGACGGCAATTGACGAATTAAGTTATTTTGAAATCTTTTATATATAAATGATAAGTCGGTACCAACTCAGTGATTCATCATGGCATTTCTATTTAAAGTGGAAAACATTAGGGGTATTCCGGAGCCCTCGTATCTGACTTCGTATATTTACGAAAATGGCCTACGTATTCTTACGAAACCTCAAACACGGGAACGACCCATGGATAGCAATGTAAACTGTCAGCTTATTCAGAAGCTTCCAGTGCGAAATTGAAAAATTCTAATTCATCATCTGTCTTGGAAACAGAGCTAGAACTGTATGACTGAAAATACAATTTCAATAATTCAAGTCCTTCTCCAAGATTGACACATGGTTTTTGTTCTTATTCTTGCCATTTTTGAAATACCTTTATCCAAATCAAAATTCTCAATATCAGAGATTAGTTGCTATAATCAGAGGTATTTATATTGTGCTTTAGGTATGCTCAGGCGACGCAGCTCAAACAATAAAAATTCGTTAATCATAATTTTGAATAATAACAAAAACCCTAACCTCACCACTTGAAACACGGAACACGGTACAAAATTCTGTCAGAACAGTTTTGTCAGAACGGCAATTTTGTAATCTTACACAAGAAAATGGTAGTGTAAAGTTACGAAGGACCGCGTATCCTAATCGACCAATCAGATTAGTTTGCTGAATACGACGATACGAATATACGAAGCATTATACGAGGACCGGGAATACCCCTATTCATTATAACTACTTGACTATTATTGTAGGTACAATGCAAAATTGTATTGTAAGAGCCGAAGTCAATCAAGTGTTGGAAAAAGTAGACCTGGTAGTCGAGGGTCTTGTCTCAAATCCAAGAATGAAGAGACGACCAACCAAAAATTGAAAGATACTGAAAGAACTCCTGATACTACACTATTAATGATGGACTACTTGTTCGAAAACGAATATGTCAACTAAAGAATATTTCAAGATTTTCATCTCAAACTTTTTATTTACAGTCCTAATTTGAACAATACACGATACATTAAAAATATTGTTCGAATATTTATACAACTTCAATTGGTTAATTTGCTACTATCAAAATATGGGACAATGTACGGAAACTGATTCATGTTTTGATTTTCAAATCCACACTGGTATAACTGATTGAAAAAATTTGAATTTCTGATCATATTTCGTGTTTTCATTGGCGCTGGTAGCTTTCTTCCTCCATACAAATCTGCTATCATTTCCACTATTGTCTGGCGTTTGCAAAATTCTGGAACGAAAAAGAAACCTCTGAATGACATCAAGAACAATTATTGATTAATAAACATGGTGTTCTTGCCTATGATCTCCCTGCAGATGTCATAGATATTGGTGACTTGATTGAATGTCATGAAAAGAATTTATGAGAAATGCATGCATACATATCACTTTTTCTTGGATCATTTCATTTTCTGTTCGTATTTGAAATATACAAGGTGTTTTTGAAATAAGTGCACATATTCAGCACATCAATTCGATACAGTCTAAGGAATATTCCCATGATATCAGATTTTTTCTAATTCTTCTTGCATCCTTTTTTTTATCGCTTGGAGCGCACGAAAGGAAATCCCTATAATGTTCAAAGAACATCGTGCGTCTAACCTCAAATTTTATTTTGATTCCTAATTTTTTTTTATTATTGCCATTCGATAGTACACGTCGAGCTTCCTCAGCGTTTGAAATATTTGCACTTATTTCAATGCCATCCTGTATAAAGAATTTAATGGATGACTACTGGTAGAGATTTCTGTGACGCTATGAAAATAAAATATCTGAGGTGGGCTCGAACTATACATAAATATACCCAGTGTCCCAGTAGGTACATCAACATGTCAATAATTGATATCTCAAAGATCCCATTGTTTTTTCTCCATCTATTCAATTTCCTCTCTGATTTGGTGTGGTATACAGCATATTCCATTCAGAATTTGATGAAATTTCATCTGATTATCTACATGTTGGCAAGTAATGATGATTATCTACATTTTCAGTCACACTATAGGTAGCGTTAAAAAAATCATTAAATTTTTATTTGCAACGTTATGAAATCCTACCATGTGCGATAAAAGACACATAAGATTTTTCGGTTGATACTGTTTCATCCATAAATGGCAGAATTGTGGAGTCTCGGAGATCCTTGAAGATATCGGTCACTAACCGAAAGGCAGTATTATCCTCGAATATTTCATTCGCACATTTTCCAACGCAGCGTATATTCTAGAATGAAAAACTGAAATTCAGAATAGTTTCTTCATTTTCAAAAACAGTTGAACAGTATGATATTTAATATTGATCATTCTAGAACACGTGATTTTGACATGGTCTCTTGAGGGACACACAAACTATCTGTTAGGTTACCTTTGATGAGCATTGCCCAGGCCGTCCCTCTGCCACATCCACAATATAATAACAGTTTCACCAAACAAAATTATGAAATTCTTTCTGGTTCAAACTCGGATTTCAAGGAAAACGATCCCACTAATTCTGGTTTTCTATGACAGATCTTGACAAAATACAATGTTTGCCCCTCAGCAACCTATCAATTGACGTAATTCTGGAATGATTAATAGTGTCAATTCATAGAAAAACATGCATATAATGGGCTTATATCACAAAAAATTATTATTTCATAATTCGATAGAACTCACCCAAACTAGCTCACCACCGCAAACCGATTCTTGCTGTGAGCTCCCTACGTTTTATAAAAAAATATTGAAATCCCCGATTTTTCGGACCTCTGAAAACGAGGCGATGATGTGACGTCAAAACCCTAATACTGAAACAAGACTATTCCAGACAGAGATGAATGATACATGTTTTCTGACAGAGTGAATTAGCGCGAGATCACAGTTGAAAGAATTAATATATATCAGTTGCCTCAGTCTCCGTTGGGCGTTTGGTATTTTCTTTTAAGTATGGCGAGATGAGGTTTCTACGTCATAAGAGGGTCCGTTTTCAGAAGGTACTATTATTTATGTCCAAAAATAAAACATTCCAGTTGATTTTTCGATCGAATTATGTCGTCGATCATTATTTATGTATAGAAGGATCATTATAAACATGGTTTGAGTTAAAAGTTCTACTGAGGTGTACACACCCATTAAGACCCTGAATAATAAAATGTCATGTGACGCAGTTAAAAAAATACAACGGCGACAGGGTTCATACTTGGGTAATTTTAGGTTCTTATACAGAAAACCTTTTTCAAGATCAAACCCCTTGAAATAATGAGTGGACATTTTATGCTGCAAACTTATTTCTTTGGAAAAATGGTTGATTCAAATATATTGTTTGAAAACGAAACAAAAATCTAATATCGCGTTCACCAGTAATGTCAAAAAGTTCAATTTCTTCGAATGGGATATCCGTGATTTGGTTTTTTATTTGTATCTGACTTTATTTGAAGTTATATGACAATAGTTATTTATACACCAAGGTAGTAAAGAAAGGCTTCAGCTGAGGGGTATATAATAAATTACCGTGGTAATAATATTCTTTAGTTTTGTGACACTGAAATATGAACCTATTGTCACTATCAAAGCACTTATTTTCAATTCTAAGCAAAATCTAGCAGCCATGACCATGACAGCATAATGACAAGTCGTATTGATAAATACCTACTAGATTCGAGTGGCATTAATGCGAATATCGCATCAGACCAGTGAATTCGGGTTGATTATAACAGAGGTGGCTATGTCTTTATTGACTAGTGGTTCATAAAATGACGAAAACTATCTTGGTAGTGAAAACACACAAAAATAATGTTAGGTCCCAGCGAGCACAAAAACATCTCAGAGATGTTAAAAGTACGAGATTTCGAGACATTGAACGTCCACTGCGATGTTCTGTTCGCACATGAATAGAACTATTATAGAACAGCCAATGTCCGCCGCAGGCGGCAATTATCGAGATGTCCTTGATATGTCACAAAACTACCTTCTCCCTAGTTCTTTTTAAAACCTTTTCATGGACATCACAACAAAACATTTTCAACGCGTCTTGCGAACATTAAATCGCTGTAAAAAACCATTTTCGAGGTACTTTTCTGAAGCCTTTTGTCAAAATGAACTTTTGCATTAGGATTCCATTTCCCTTGAATGAAAAAATGCATTAAAAATAGATTGAACATAAAAATATTTTCTTGATATGAAATTACCTTCCTAATCGATTCCTGAGTAGTGCTTACTACACACAGACATATAATTGAAAATAGGTTTCCCAATTTTTGAAATGTTCTCCACAATGCATAATTTTGCAACTGCGGAGAAGCTGTGTATTGATAAATTCGTACTTTTATATATTGATTACACTGAGGCACCGAACAACACATCTTGCATCTGATGGTCATTATTACAAACTAAATAAGTCACAATAAACTTCACCAAATTCCTTTCTGTTCGTTAGCAGCGTGATGTAAGCGTGACACGCTGCAAACGCGAATGCCAATTGCGAACAAGAAGAACAAAATCGAAAACAAATCAGAATTCATCGTATTGTGACGTGAGCATGAGACGTTGGGGCAAACAAAGAAAGGGCACAAAAGAACAAAAACAATACTTTCAATATCCTTCTAAGACCTCTTTGGGAAGTGCATATTACGCCTTAAAAAAACATCCTCATGCCTACATTTCTAAAACATCCCAAAACATCCCAGGGATACCTCTCAGTAGGCGAACAAAGAAATGCCACAGAAGAACAAAAACAATACTTCAATATCCTTCAAAGACCTCTTTGGTCAGTGCATATTACGTCTCAAAATAACATCTTCATGCCAACATTTTCAAAACATCCAAAAACATCCCAGGGATGTTTGTGCTCGCTGGGGTTTCATAGCTAGTGGTGGAAAAAATAAGTTTTATATTATCATTCCCACTTTTTCCACCCTATCCAATAGTATTGATAGATTTGTGATCCGACGTTTCGTCTTCGAAGAGCCATCGCAAACTTTGTTTTTTAAAAGCCTAAATCGTTTTCTTTTCCCTAAAATATCTAATCCCAATTCTGAATTCAACGACATATTGCGCTTCACAATTTTTCAACGTTTGGAACCTAAAAATCATCATCAGTATTATTTGATGATGGTTACGAGGAAACGAAACATCTGATCAAAAATCTGATGACGGCATCATCTTGTAAATATGGATGCAAAAATGGTAGGTTATAGGACTAGTGGTGGTGAGCGTAATATAAATTGTTGGTTTCATAAGCAATCAAACGTTTCGATCGAACACTCACACTTATTTCGTAGTGAACATTGTCAAATTTATACTTTATATCACCAATCAGATCCAGTTCGTCTGCATCGGATTCTAATCGCGTATAGATTCGTTCCTCTCTGTCCTGTAATTCTTTACTGAAATCGTCTTTTTCGAAGTGCTTAGCTATCTGTTCACCCAGACGAAAACCTTTGGTCGCCAATTCTACGTAAGCCGGCAATTTTGGGGACATGCCATACACGAAACCAGGTGGAAATACTGAAAAGAAGGAATATATTTGAATGTGTCAGGTATACAATTCCGTTTGACCAACGAAAATTGATCATGCACAGTGTTCGAAATAAACTGCTGATGAATCGAACCGCATCAAGCACATTTTTGCTCTAAATTCAACATTGAATATTTTTGCGAAAATTCCACTTATTCGGATGCGCTTTTCTTTATTCTGAAGATTGATCCATTGAGTATATGATAGATAGACCGCTGATGGAAATACATGGTAACCTCTGGCTACACAGGGTGACAAACAAAGCTCTGCAAAATATTGAAAAATTCCCCATACTCCCAATTTGGTGGAACATTTTTTCCAAACATATTTTCATGATTCTCGAGCATATTCCTCGAAATTGTTTAGCAATTTTTCTCTTATCTTTATATGTATTATGTATATGATTTAAAAATGATTATCTGATTATCTAATTTTTGTTTTTTTTTTTAGTTGCTCTTTCATAATTTTCCCTGCTATAAACATGTATGTTTCTTGGGAATAATAATAATAAAGATCCAGATTTTCGAGAGAAAGATTTTTTCTCGAAAAATGTGATAATTTGTACTACTGACTATAAATATTCTTATTCGTAGCTCGAATATCACAGATTTTCTCTAGGATAAGTTATTGTGATCTTCATTATATGAAATTTACTATTGTTTATATACAGAGTGTTTGGCAACAATATTCGATAGATATTATTACAGGAAGACCGAGCACAACACATTGACCAAACTTGTATAGTGTTCGAGATTGAATGACAACCACTAATTTCGCAAGAGAATGACTGATAAAGATTCCTTGAAATCATCAAATTTCACGTCGATAATTTTCTGATTTCAATACAATGTAATAATATCTTCTCAATATTGATTCGTACTTTTTCCCGTCACAGGAAAAAATAGTGTATTATACACTGGAAAAATGTTAGATTTTAGCTCACGATGTTTGGTCTCCCTCCGCTACGCGTCGTACCTCGAGCAAAAATCTACTACTTTTTTCCCTTAATTCTTTCAATATTTTGTCCTGCCTGCCGAGATATTTTGATTTGCCAAGTTTTTGACAGCTCTAAAGCCTCTGATTTTGTTTCATTATAGCTCATTCAAGGCTATATATAGATTCTACCTGATGAGTTGAATCAATTACAGGATGTTCCATTAAACACATTTCTGCGCTGCACACTACAGTTGGTCATCTGGTAGGTACATTTCGATGGTAAAGTCTATATTCTATCACAGATGCTACTGAGTTATTTTTTCAATTACTCACCTATATGACGAGAAGGGGGAAATGTCTTTGGTTCAGTTTCAAAAGGATCTACGAAATACAATAATCTGAAAGAAAGATATTTGCATTTATATAAGAACTCGTATATTCAATAAATTTGCATGTAATCATGAGTAGGGTTGCCACCTTTGAATTTCTGATTTTCAGGACAAAGTACTTGAAAATGCAGGACAATCAATTAAAAATCGGGACAAATGAAATTTAAACGGAAATGTTGAAATGTTATTCAAAGAGTGCGAGTGTTTAACGGTATGAAAAACGTTAGTTTATGCATTTCAGAGAATAAATTGGAACTTTTAATCTCTCATTTGTGAGACTAAAGTGGCACTTTTAATCTCTCAGAGAATCACAGTTAATATACTGGCATTTTTTCTCGAACGCCATAGCAATATATGCTTTCAAGGCACATCACTTTCCGATGTCAACAACAATATGATAACCACTCATCAGTCAGCAAAGTTAGTATCTACCATGATACGTCGCTGGCGCGCTTTCATCGAATCTATTATTCATGTCTAAAAGTGCTATCGCTACATGAATGATATAATAGTGGATAGAGAGGATATTAAACATCGCATATGAGAATGGCATTGAGAGTTGGTAGATGATGGTTTTCCAAAAACTGCTGCACTTCCAATATACTGTTTCTCCCTCTCTGTCTACCATATTGTTATATCTGCTATAACTGACCTAATAAAATCATCGGATCATAAGTTGCTTCCTCAAAGAAAAATCATCTAGACAGTGAAGTGCGTCTCCGAAAAAAAGTAGGTACATATTCCATTGAATAAAACTGGTGGAGTATTTCTGCACTCAGCATAGCGGAAAAACTTAATTCGACGATGTGATGATGTCACCTCGATAGGTCACAAAATTCAGAATATTTGGTGTCCTGTAAGTGATCTCGACAGGACGCAGGATAAAATACCTCAAATTCAGTGCGTCCTGAGAAATGCAGCACCGGTGGCAACCCTAATCATGAGTTGGGTACGATTACTTACAGAATTTCTGCCAATTTGTCACCTGAGTATCCTTTTCCAACCAAAGAATACACATTCGTTCTATAATTTGATAATAATATCATAAGTTTCTCATGGTAAGATTTATTAGCCACATCCAAGTCGTTTCCATAACCACTTGCAAAAAGAATTTGCCTGTCCAAAGTGTTGTTCGCGTTACTTCTCAATTGAATTTGATTTAACCGATCTTGAAAAATTGTAACCGAATCTTGGGTCATATTGGCTTCTTCAAATGAAGCATTGAATGTAGATTTCAGTTGTTGGAATAAATTTTCCACTCGCTCATATAGTTTCGGTGATATTTGTTCTGCAGAAATGTTGTTGACAAGCGATACGCTTATATCTGGCATAAGTTGGGAAGCCAATCTCATACAGTGTGTTGCTTTCCGCCCGTAGTTTATTGAAACGGGTCTGGTGTTCCTGAACCGTTGAACGTTGAACCATAAATTCAGAATACCATGTATGTTCCTACAAAAGGATAATAGACCGAGAGGTGAGTGGCAAAAAATGCAACAGTTTTCTATAGGCTGGAATTTCGATATTATCCTTGATATTATGTAGTATTTAGGGAGTATAGCAATAGCCTGCCGTCAGTCATCCAGTTTCGTTAGCGATTAGAGCAGGGGCAGCTGCAAAATTCTTTAAATTAACATGGATGTCGCACAGTTTTCTGAAATCTGAAAATTGTTTTCTCAATAGGTACCTAGTAAATTATATCTAAAAAATTATGTGGATATCGTCAGTCTTCAAAATATCGTAACAGAATGCGTCAGCAGCGCGTCAAAGTCATAAAAATAATTATAAACATCTCAGTTGAAAACATTGTCGTTCTAGATGACAACCTAGTTAGGTAGTTAGTAAGCAAGAGTCTGGAATTATAAAAATATTGATACCAATTTTGTCCCTAGTTTCAATGTCCTGTCGCATTCTGAAATGAATTTAATGACTTTTGACTATGGAACAATGTTTAGAGGAACCAAAGTCGACTTCTTGGTATTTCTTATACTGAAACTAATAGTTCTAGTAAACTACAAACTAATAAGACGATTGCTAAAAAAAGTTTGTATAGGTGCAAACTTGTAGTTAAATATCATTTTATTTATATATATCTACCATAAACAAACTTGGAACAGAACCCTTCTTCAGAAACCGTTTCCTATTCTTCATTGGCAAGAAACAGTTTCCTTGAAATGTTGCAAAATAACACAATCGCACTCTCAAACCAATTAACAAACTATAATAGAACAACCAATTAATCATTCCAGAATTACGTCATTTGACAGGTTGCTGAGGGGCAAACATTGTATTTTGTCATGATTTGTCATGTAAAACCAGAATAAGTGGGATCGTTTTCCTTGGAATCCGAGTTGGAACCAGAAATAATTTCATAATTTTGTTTGATGAAACTGTTATTATATTGTGGATGTGGCAGGGATGGCCAGGGCTATGCTCATCAAAGTTAACCTAACAGATAGTTTGTGTGCCTTTCAAGAAACGTGTTCTAGAATAATCAAAACTAGAAAAAATAATGAGGTTAAATCATTTTAATTTCCAAGGATTCGAATTCAAAGTTCAACACATCCACAAAGACGAAGTTATAAGTCAATGACAACTGTCAGTAAATAATTTTACGATTTTTGTTTTCACCCTCAACCTATCCAGTACGTTACCCAAGTCCCTGAATAAGATTTCAAAATTCTGAGCTCTATTTCTGATTCTATGTTTCCAGGGTGTCTTTTCGAAAAAAGTTCATAGGAACTTTTTTCCATAGAATCACCTCGCGAGTATTTTACCAATTATCAGACACACACTGTGAATGAGTTAAAAAAAATTTAAACAAATTATAACCTAATAGTTTAATTTAATTGGTTAATTACAGCCTTGTGTGCGCAACTTATCGTGTAGTTCACAGAAAAATCACCGGTTTACCTGGTCCCATGGGGGTCATGACCCCCCCCCTGGTAACTAAGAGCATCAGCGTATGTTTGGGTGAACTATTACTTACTGTTTTTTATCTAATACATCTAATACTTTGCTCGTGTAGTTGGAAAAAAACACTTTCACTGGAATATCCTCGGTGATGTTGACATTCCTGGTGATTCCTTTGAAAACTTCTACCCAGTTCAAATCTCGGCATTTGTATTGCTCATTCAATTCCTTCAGAGTTTTTATTTCCTGATAATTAGTCTCTACGTCATCCAATGTGTGTATGAAACTATTATAATTGATGAGAAGATGGTCCTGAAAATTTCAGAATGAAATGACCAAATGGACTAACGACCAGGAATAAATTACCAGTAAGTCATCCATGAGATCTTGCAAATCAACACTATGATTCTGTAAAAAAAAGTTCAGTTTGGAATGAACAAAAATGGTTCTGTTCGGAATGAACTATGAACTATTCCACTCACCTTAAAAGAATATACCAATGATTTGTCACTGAACATGCTATCCATTTCTTTGACAAATCTGGTGATATAATTCTTAGTATTAGTTTTCACACAACTGCGAATGTCTTCTGCTGTATCATTACTCAAATTTATTTTGTAACCCTTTATCTTGTCACTGATTTCTTCTATACATTGTTGTTGCATTTGATCTATTAGTGACCATTCTGTTAAACCTGTTTTCAAAGGACTGTTTTCTGGTAGATTGATCTAAAACCATATATTGTGTGACATATCTGTATTTTTATGAGTAAAAAATTGAAACGTCGAATAAATACTCACTTCATATCCTAATGATTCGGATTCATCCACCCTCAATCCAACGTCGAAGAATGGCATAGACTGAGATAATAATAAATCAATGAAGATATCTGTCAAAGATTTTTGTTCGATAGAATTCACTGAAATAATATCTACGTATGAAAAATATCATTGTTGTTTGTTGAAAAAGTATGTTATGTTTACATATTTATTGAATACTAACGACTGTTTAAAATATCCTCCATCATAAAATCGTCCTTGTGTTGCATACAATCTCTATAAAAATCTACAAAAATAGTAGGGTATTCAAAATCTTCCGATTTTTCTTTAGCTCTGTTGATAAGAGCCTTAGAAGTCGAGTCAAAATATGCTTCTTTTAGGTCTTCGGCAATATTTGTTCCTCCACAGGCGAAATTGTAGAAGTCATCACATGGATCCGAGCCTTCATCGTAATTCATCATTGCCAACCATTGCGCGGATATTTTTTTACAAACAGGATCTTCACAAGTTTTTACTGCAAAAGAGACCTTTTAATACTATCATGCTTAGTCCTGAAAGGAAGAACAATAACCTTTAATTGACGTAGAACTATTTGACTTCACAGCTTTATTAGGGCTCATGGTAGGCGTTGTACTTGAACTACTGGACCTTATTGACTGAACAGTGGTACTAGTGTATGATGTGTTATCAGTTGTAGTAGTGTTTGTGTTTGTTGTAGTTGAACTACTGGTGAGATTATTTTGTTGAATAGTGGGCGAAGTTGTGGACTCTTCCATACCACTAGTCTCTGTGGCACCAGGGATTGTAGTAGTATCACTAGTGTCTGTGATACTAGCAGCAGGTGTTATAGTTGAACTACTGATCAGTTTATATTGTTGCGTGGCACCAGGAGTTGTAGTTGTACTAATAGTTGTATTAATATTGGGCGGAGCTATAGACTGTGCTTTATTATTAGCGTCTGTGGAATAAGTTGTTGTAGTTGAACTTCTGATTGGATTATTTTGTTGAGTAGTAGGGGACCTTATTGACTGAACAGTGGTTCTAGTGTATGTGATATCAGTTGTAGTAGTGTTTGTGTTTGTTGTAGTTGAACTACTGGTGAGATTATTTTGTTGAATAGTGGGCGAAGTTGTGGACTCTTTCATACCACTAGTCTCTGTGGCACCAGGGATTGTAGTAGTATCACTAGTGTCTGTGATACTAGCAGCAGGTGTTATAGTTGAACTACTGATCAGTTCATATTGTTGCGTGGCACCAGGAGTTGTAGTTGTACTAATAGTTGTATTAATATTGGGCGGAGCTATAGACTGTGCATTATTATTAGCGTCTGTGGAATAAGTTGTTGTAGTTGAACTTCTGATTGGATTATTTTGTTGAGTAGTAGGGGACCTTACTGACTGAACAGTGGTTCTAGTGTATGTGATATCAGTTGTAGTAGTGTTTGTGTTTGTTGTAGTTGAACTACTGGTGAGATTATTTTGTTGAATAGTGGGCGAAGTTGTGGACTCTTTCATACCACTAGTCTCTGTGGCACCAGGGATTGTAGTAGTATCACTAGTGTCTGTGATACTAGCAGCAGGTGTTATAGTTGAACTACTGATCAGTTCATATTGTTGCGTGGCACCAGGAGTTGTAGTTGTACTAATAGTTGTATTAATATTGGGCGGAGCTATAGACTGTGCATTATTATTAGCGTCTGTGGAATAAGTTGTGGAAACAGTGGTTCTAGTGTATGTGATATCAGTTGTAGTAGTGTTTGTGTTTGTTGTAGTTGAACTACTGGTGAGATTATTTTGTTGAATAGTGGGCGAAGTTGTGGATCGTTGATCAGTATCACTAGTGTATGTGCCTGCAGGTGTTGTAGGTAAAGTAAAGTTCAGTTCAGAAGTTGTGGGCTGGTCATAATCACTAGTGTCGGTGATCTCAGGTGCATTTGAACTGGTCAGTTTTTTTTCTATGTTGGGAGGAATTGTTGGCTGGGAATTATCAATACCATTTGTGGATCCAGACATTGTAGCTGCAATATTGATACTTTGTGAATTCTGTTCAAGATAATAATCTGTTACCAGGACCATTGTCGTTCTAGATGACAACCTAGTTAGGTAGTTAGTAGGCTAGAGCTTATTGTACCTCCTCGCGTAATAGGTTGCCTACTAGGCTTTCATTTTATTGTACCTCCTCGCGTATTAGGTCGCCTACTAGGTTTTCATTTAGATCGACAATGCCAGGAAAATTTTACCAATAGTAGTTGCTGCACTAGGTGTTGTAGTTGACTCCCGTGATTTTGGACTATTAGAGGTGATTTTCGATTTAATGTTTATCGGATTCTGTGGCTGATTATCGAAAGATACTGTTGATGGCTGTTCGGTATCAAACATTTCTGTAGATCCAAGAGTTGAGTCTGTAGATGCTGGAATATTTGAAAAATTTCAATTATAATAATTATTGATTGCAACTCGATTAATGATTTTATTAATAATACCATTAGGCTGATTCTTTTGTTCTGTCGTATCGTTTTCTTTAGTATTAGGAGTTGTAGTTGAGAATGAATGAGTTGTACCTATACACCTTCTACCGGGTTATTCAAATTCGGGTGCCACAACTGATATCTGGAAAACTATAGGAGTAACGAAGATGGAAGATGGTTGAATTAGAGCAAAGTTGAGCATTTATGTGACTAAAAATATGCCTTCGAGAAAATTTTTGAATTCCCAGTATTTACGGAAATAACCGAAAAAACTGAAATGTTGGTAAATCATTTTCTTTTTTTCTGGTTTTGTTTGTTGGAGAATATGAAAATTGAGAGCACATGAGCACGATGAAATTTTCAGATTCACCATGCTATTATTATTAATGAAAATCCAATTTTGATTTCCTTCAACAAATAACGCCAGAAAAAAATAAAAATGGTGTACCGAGATTTCTGTTATTTTCGTGTATATCCGGCAATACTCGGATTTTGAAACATTTCTCGACACATCGACATATACTTTATTGTCCAAGAATGTTCTCATCGACAAAGTAAGTTGGGATATATAGCTATAAATATATATAAATATGAATATAAATATTGGTAAATGAAATTGATTGAATATAATACAAATGGATATGAATATATATGGAGGCTATAGTATGTTTTTTCAAGAAGCATATTTTTGACAGAGCTTCTGAATTGTTTATGATCTGATATGTTCATAATTAGCTGAGGCAGGTGAATGAATACCTATTCTTTTTCCTTCATACATATTGGAGTGTTTTGTTAAATTCAGTTCAGGTATTGCCAGGTGAATATCACAGCTTTGTCTAGTATTGTAAGATCTATCTTCAGGAAAATCAGTAGCATATTTTTTGTGAATCAGGCATACCACTTCTAGAATGAAGATGCTCACTAAAGTTAAAATTATTTGTTGAACAAAAAGTTGTCTACAGTCTATCTCTGTAGTTACCTCTACACAAATATCTGAGAGATCTTTTCTGTAGTACAAATACCTGGGTTTAGGAGTTTTTGATTACAAAATCCCCAAAACGCAATGCCATATCTTAGATGGGACTGTACAAGTGCAAAGTAAGTGGATCTGGCTGTGGATATTTCAAAGGTCATATAGGCAACAACTCTCACAGTATGAGATCCAGAAGCTAACTTCTTACACAAAGATGTGATATGTTCATTGAATTTCAGCTTATTGTTAATGTGTATTTCAAGAAACCTCTAATACAATATGAATACCATCAAGTAGCAAGTTATCATACCTGAATTTAAAGTTGACAATTTTGGTTTTATCCACATTGAAACATCAATAGTTTGAATCACACCATTGCTTAACTTTCGATAGATCTGAGGAGACCATACTTGTTTCAAGATAGTGTTTTTCCCATGCCATAATGATGTGATATCATCAGCAAAAATTGTGATCCTTCGATATTATTATTGTAGCGAGATCGTTGATGTACAGCAAGAACAAGATAGGTCCCGACACAGCATATTTTTAGTCAAATAAATGTTAAACTTTGCCCTAATTTAACCATCTTCGTATCTCCTATAGTTTCTAAGATCCCGATGATGGCACTCTAATTGAAATTACCCAGTATAGGTAGTAGGCATAATATGTATTGTTACGATACTACATTTGGATCCGATATGGATATCGGCAGGCAGCCCGACGGGAGCATGGACTACAGAAGAACTATGAGTAGTTTTGAGAGGGTTAGAAAACACAACACAACACATTTAGCTATAATTGCCAGTTTGAACTGGCAATTAGCCATAATTGCCAGTTTGAACTGGCAATTAGCCATAATTGCCAGTTTGATCTGGCAATTAGCCATAATTGCCAGTTTGAACTGGCATTTAGCTATAATTGCCAGTTTGAACTGGCATTTAGTGCTTGGATAATTGCCAGTTCAAACTGGCAATTATAGCTAAATGCCAGTTCAAACTGGCAATTATGGCTAATTGCCAGATCAAACTGACAATTATGGCTAATTGCCAGTTCAAACTGGCAATTATAGCTAAATGCCAGTTCAAACTGGCAATTATAGCTAAATGCCAGTTCAAACTGGCAATTATGGCTAATTGCCAGATCAAACTGGCAATTATGGCTAATTGCCAGTTCAAACTGGCAATTATAGCTAAATGCCAGTTCAAACTGGCAATAATGGCTAATTGCCAGTTCAAACTGGCAATTATGGCTAATTGCCAGATCAAACTGGCAATTATGGCTAATTGCCAGTTCAAACTGGCAATTATAGCTAAATGCCAGTTCAAACTGGCAATTATAAAAAAAAAGTATCATGTCCGTTCAGCGCTTTCGTAATATCAGATTATGTTGACAAAGTGAACGAGACTTCTTACTCTCTGATAGCTTTTCCAAATTATCTATTGATCCTACCCAATTTTTTTTTTAATTATATGAGAACAACCCTCACCATGTGTATTGATACTATTACATATTATGAGTCTTCCAAATTAAAATTGATACCTATGAATCCTTTAACCCCTCTGCTCTATATGTCGTCTTGCCTAAGATACACAAAGGCAACATCCCCATCAGACCTGTTGTCTCGTACTGCAATTCTCCTTTTTTCATAACCCTTTCTCCATCAAAAATTCTGTTGACCTTACAAATAAAATAAAAAATTTCAATATTCCTCCCAATGCTATCTTATTGTCTTTTGATGTAGTTAATCTCTTCCCCAGTGTCCCCCTAGAGGATTGTATCAGATTAGTTCGCAGCCTACTATTTGAATCAAGGATCTCCTCTCACCATTGCTTAAACTTATGCTCGCTGTTAGATATAGTTTTGAAACAGAATTTGATCAGTCCTTTTATGCACAACTTTCTGGTTTGGCCATGGGCAGCAACCTCTCCCCTCTCCTAGCAGAAATTTTTCTGACAGAAAACAGACTGAAGGATTTTCATTTGTTTCATAAAGGTTTGCCTAGTCCTCTTTGACGGTTCTATACAGGAGGTCAATCTTTTTCTGGAATTTTTGAACTCCCTTCACCAATTCAATACACCATGGAACTTGCTCAGCATAATTCTCTTCCCTTTCTAGACCTACTCATAAATATTGAAAATTCAACCTTTGATTTTTCAATCTATAGAAAACCACACACAGATCATGTTATTCCTTTTTCTTCTTGCCATCCTATTTCCCATAAATTTGCTGCCTTTCATTCACTCTTCAGCAGACTTTTCAGCATACCTATATGAACCCTGAGCATTTCAATATTGAATTGAATACTATAAAACAGATAGGTCATAACAATGGTTTTCCCAAACACCTTATTGATGGACTATACCACCACCGAGACCACCACCATTCCCTCAAATCTCTGAACCAAAATTTAACACCAGTCACAAAAGCCAAATCTCACTTTACCTCCATTCCCTTTCTTGGCAAGGTTTCATATGATATCAGAAATATTTTTCAACCTTTTGGTGTAGACATCAACATTTCATAGCATACCATGGACGCCATCGCACGCACTTTGGTCAACACCAAAGACAAAATTTCCGTCTTTTGCTCTGATTGTAACGCTCCAAGGTTAACGCTCAATAGATAGGTCAGAGTGGTAGACGGATTCATACCAGAGTACTTGAACATGTGAAATTAATTGAAAAATCAGTGAACCCCAATATTGATGCATATAACACAAAAAGTTCATTTGCAAATCATATCCTCAACGACCTGGATATTTCACGAATTTTCCAGAAAGGTGCCCTTCTCAACCTATTTGAAATTTTCCAAATTAACGCGTCCTTAAACGACTATAATGTTATCTCACTCAATGAGCAAACTCATTTTGATTGCCAAAAAATTTTCAATTCCCTGGTTTTTCATGAATCAACTTATAGTAATATAATTTTCATCTTTCAGTTTTGAAATCTTTTTCCTGCCTTGGTCTCTACTAGCCTTCATGTTCAATCAAATTTGAGTACCTAGGTATCTACTCTATGTTTTAGGTCGAGCGGTGCTTCTGGTCGTCCACTATTCTACAGTGTCATTCATAAAGTCGGCATCATATGGGAAAAACTTTTATTAATGACTTATTTTGGAATTCGAGTTGGACGTTAAGTTTTGCTTCAGAAAAGATGAAAAATGGCCTACTCAATCGGGGTCACGTGACTTTTTCAAATTAATCGCTGAAAGTAGGCTTATTTGTTCGAATATCGAAAAAGTTTACTTGAAAAAGTTGTTTCTATTTCAATTTTACACATGCTCCTCGAATTTGATCATTCTATTGCAACTTTTTGATTTTGATTTTTATTTTTATTTTTCGAAATTTCTGTAATATTTGAAGAATTGTTAATTCCACGAAACTACATCATACCAGTAGCTTTTTCATGCTACTTACTTTCAATTACTCATTATCAGTGATTATGGACAGAAATGTGATTTTCTTCAGAAAATGATAATACCCGCTTCCAAATTCTGTTATGTTTGATGCAAAGTTAATACATCGTCAAGCTTTTAGAAACGAAATTCATTTAAACTGATCTTTTCAGTAATGAAAAAATAAATTTAAATGAATTTCCTGTCTAAATGCTTGACTCAAACATAACAGAATTTTGATGTTATGTTTGCATCAAACATAACAGAATTTTGAAGCGGAGATTATATCATTTTCTGAAGAAAATCATATTTTTGTCGATAATTAGTGATAATTAGTAATCGAAAGTTAGTAGCATGATGAAACTACTGGTATGAAGTAGTTTTATCGAATTTACAATTTTTTTAATACTACAGAAATTTCGAAAATTTTTAAAAAATATCGAAATCAAAAAAATGTAATAGAAAGATAAAATTCGAGTCACATATGTAAAATTGAAATAGAAACAACTTTCAGCGATTAATTTGAAAAAATGTCACTTTTGACATGTAGCGAAAGTCACGTAACCCCGATTGAGTAGGCCATTTTCCATCTTTTTTTAAGCAAAACTCAACGTCCAACTAGAATTTCAAAATAAGTCATTAATAAAAGTTTTTCCCATATGATGCCGACTTTATGAATGACACTGATGTATATCTACGGACAGTTGACATTGTCACTGTTATATGTGTCTTGTCATTACAGAACTTGCGTTTTGTTTTTTGTGGATTGCTAAAAACGCCACTTGTCCTCTATCATCTGATGATGAAGGTTTGTTTTGAATAATCATTTGACTCCACCATTTTTTTCGGTTTTTCCAAAAATGGGTTTTGCCATCAAATCGTGATAATGTACAGTCGTCTTCAGAAAACATGTCGCACATGGACGATGATAGCAGTCTTAATAACTCCTGCAATAAGAGCGCTGACACCGTCCAACCGGGACATGATCTCTGAAGACTGTACGTCCTCATAGGAGCACAGGGCTCCTTTACAATTAAGCTGACCTTTAACCGGTGCTTTCTTGCACAATAATTTTATTCAAAGTTTTTTCATGATGTGTGTTTTTTCATTCCCACGTGAGTAAATTCTCTATTTCATATATTTTCCTGATTAACTTGTATTATATTATAGGACATTTGTAAGGATTATGGCTGATGATGGACACATGACTGTCCGAAACATGTTCCGCTATATAATCTTTCGATTATTAAACATTGTAGAGATGATTTTGTGTTTTCTAACCCTCTCATCACTACACTCCACTTAGAGAAAAGTATGGACTTCTACATAAGATTATGAGTGGTATTATTGAGAGAGCGACTAACGAGATGAATTATTGATAAATCAGTTTGAAGTGTTTTTCGAGTTATGAACGTAGTTATTGTGTTTTGTTTTCTACTGAGTATTTGTGATAGACCAAACCCGAACGTTTTATCGAACAGTACCTATATGTATAGTTGTTTCTGCTTCATTTGTACTTCTTTTCTTACTTTGATCTCGAACAGCAAAACCTACGTGAATCTTTCTTCATTGAGCACACATAATATTTTCTTCTAGTTCAGACATTGTTTTCTCTCGGGATTCTAAGTGAAATTGTAATACTTCATCTAATTTCTTTTGAAATAACAATCATATTTCTATTTATAGAGACGAGAAAAGAAATTACCGAAAATCTAGAGAAATAAATAGTCCACCTTCATAAACAGCTATAGAGACAGTAAAACCTATTTTTATAAAATATATATATTTGCAGCAGAAATTCCTCATTTATCATTTGAATTTGGTTGACCTCGGAAATTTCAAAATTTTTGCCAACTATGCATTTTATTGAAATTTTCTATAGCAACCCTTAAATAAGTACTCCTCCTCAAACTGAAAACTGAATACGCGCATGAAATATCAAACGAATATTTACCTTCAGACTGCTCTGACATTTCGATTATATCTGTTGTTGTTTGCATCCTGTGAAAAATACAGAATACTTATTCGATTTATTGAACTAAATTAAATACTTATAGTGGGTTAATACATACCTTGCATTACCGTCTGATAGTTTGGCATATTGTCCAGTTGAAGCGCTTGAATCGGTACCAGGTTTTTTCTGAAATTTAAAACTTCACATTAGATTAAATTTTTAGAATGGGGCCTTCGGGCTATCTGCCTCCACTCCGCGACCTTTTCAGATCTATTGTACGACGCGTCTGAACTGCCATCCTTGAAAAACTTTTTTTTCACGAATATTTGCCTAATTTACAGTTGCAACTTTGAATGGCACTGAGGCTTCGAAGCACTACAGCCTGTAGTATCTTTGGCCACCAAACTACCGACCCATGTATGCTATCATGTGCCCAGTGATACGGCATATAGAGCCATGTAAATATTTGGTCATTTTTCGATTTTTCCAGTACCCTCTTTTTCGTGAAATTCACTATAATGGTTTTATTAGGGTTCTCTGTGAGTTTCTCCTCTTTACACCACTTGTTTTTTGTCTATTAGAACTTTACATAAGATATACATATATACAGTACGATGAAATGTGTGGATTAGATTTGTTATTTCAAAAATAGTCAACTTTTCGAAAAAATCCCAATACACATGAGTTTTAATGTTCGAAGCCCCATCTCATGATATACATATCAGAGACCTCACCTCACTGGTGTTGGCGTAATGACGTAATGAACGATTTTTTTGAATACAAACAAACAACAAAAAGGGGTCACATTGAATGCTCATTCGTTGATTCATAAAAAAGTACATTAATCGAAAAAAGTTGTACACTAATAAGTCACAAGTTCAATAAGTCATTGAATTGTTTGATATTATTTTTACAAAAATATTCAAATCGCTTATGATCTAGCAATGAGACTAACAGAAACCGAATCGATATTATCGGCTGTGGAGATGAAATTATTTCTGAAAAATAAACTCATCAGAAGGAAGACTGTACAAATAAACCCTGAAGTTCTCGAATGCGTTGAGAAGAATTTTCTTGCATCATCAATGATTCCTGATAATCGCCAATTTGAATATTCATCATGATTTATAATTTTATTATATTTTCATAACGGTCAGTTGAGGAATATACTTACGGAAGACGATAATCCATATGCCATCACTAAATAAATTAACACTAACAATGCCAAAACCACCAAAAGAACAAGAATGAAATTTCGAAATGAAGTATCTTTCGTTCTATTCAAACTATATGTTCCCGTTCGAGCCATGATTGTTCTGCGAATAAAGAATTCATAATCGAAAAATGCCAACTCAGTAGGTAGGTAGGTATATGGTTTTGGTTTATCCCGCTTTTCGCAGGAAGTCGTACATTGTTGATAAGATTTCATATTCAACCACGATACTTACCTTATCCGTTTTCCATAATTCTTTAATTGATAAAATATTTCATTGTTCTAACTGAGATTTTTATAATTCCTAGTTATAACTATTATAATCAAACCAGCCACGACGGCAGATTGAGAAAATGAAAATTTCTAAAAATCTATTGAGCCAGATCAGGTGATAAATGAATAGTTTGAAAAACTAAAATCAAGTTTCAACAAGTAAAATGAATGTACCACCTCCTAGATTAACCTACAGACAGTATTTAATAGAAAATAAAATGATAAAAGTATGTTGATAATTACACAACACTGAAAATATTATCAGTACCTATTTAATATATTATTCTATGTTGTGTATTTATCAACACATTTTCATAATTTCATTTTCTTAAATATTTTGAGCTACTATTTATTTTCTATACTTCTTTTTAGTTTGGCTATCTATAGAAGGGTGTTTCTATAGTTTTTCGAACTAACTATATATTTTTTATTCTTCAGTTCGGCTAATGTACAAAAGCGTGTTTTTTTGTTTTTAATATTTTTTGTATAAGTACCCAAATATTGAGAATAAGGAGTATGATTATTTTTGAGAATGTTTGTTTTGTTGGGTTACTTTTTGGTTTACTAAAAGTACATAATGTAACTGGAATTCGTATAGCATAAAATAGATCTGAATTTTTGACCAGGTATTTACTGATGAAATCAAAATTGAACTGGAAACCCTGGTTCGCACGGAGAGTTAGTTGACAACAACTGTCATTTGCTGTTTTCAACTAATTATTCACGAAATTTGATAGATTTATGGATTTCACGTGTGAATAGGACCGTGATGTGGATATAAGTCATTAGGTCGACGAAAACTTTTGATAGATAGATAGATAGCTTTATTCAAAGAATTGTACTTATACATGATACATAAACAAATACAATTAGGTGAACCGGCGTCAAATTAGTGGTGTGTAGTTACCATGCACAGAACATCAATATGTGTAATGCTAACAAACAAAATGAGTATTTACATAGATATTTTACAAGAAAACAGACTTGTTCAAATTGTCAATTATGGATAAGATACGGTTTATAAAATTGTAAAGAATATATAAAATATATAAAATTGTACAGTATAGATAAAATATATAAAATTGGTTGAAATAGAAACAACAAAAAATTAATTAGAAACTGAAAAAACGAAAGCATACGTGTACAGTGGAATAGGGTAGAATAAATATATAAAATAGGGTGATATTGAATCAGAATAAACTGGAATCTCAAAATTCTTGTAAACTATATGGTTCGATCTTGTTCAATAAATCATATACAATATGTTTGAATTTTTTAAAGCAGGGTTCAATTTTCACACTCGTTGGTAACTTATTAAAGAACTTGATACACGAATACATCGGGGTTTTTTCTGTCAGAGTTAGTCTGTGGGCAGGAGTTTTCAAATCCACAGTTCTCGTTTTATAACTATGTTGTGATTTAAACATATCAAATTTTTCCCTATTTCTGAACAGAAATACCAAACACTCATATATATAGATACTTGGAGCAGTTAATATATTCATCTCTCTGAACTTTCCTCTGCAGGACTGTCTTTTAGTGTTTCCCAATAGAATTCGTAGGGATCTTTTCTGTACTAAGAAAACACTCTGCACATCCGAGCTTCCTCCCCAAAAAATGATGCCAAAGCGCAATATAGAGAATGAAAGTTTGAAAAATACACCGTTCTCAGACCTTCATTATCTAAATATTTAGCTACAATTCTGAAAGAATAACACACTGAGTTTAATTTACTACAGAATTCATTTATATGGATCCGCCAATCAAGATTTTGGTCAATATGAACTCCCAAGAACTTGGTGTTTTTCTCTAGGGTCACATTTTTTGCCTCGAGCTGTATATCTCGCGGTAATTTGTTTCCTTCGTTTTTAGTTGTTGTGAAACGGATGTAGGTTGTCTTTTCTTTGTTCAAAGTCAATCGGTTCTTAATGAGCCAGTCTTGAGATATGCACCTATAGGCGAAAAACTGTCTATTGTATGGCCTGATTGCTAGCCTCGGCTAAGGCCTCTGCAATCAATATGCAGACTCGACTATAATAGACAGTTTTTCGTCCTTGGTACATAAATTAACAACTATTTCAGTTGATGCGGCTGCTAAAGTGGGATTGTTCAATAAGGTTCTTGTTATATCCCTAACAACACGGGATCTTGCTGGTACATCCCGCTAAGGTCCTACAAATGTCCCAATGTTTCTCTTGGGACATCCATCAGATGTTTCCATTGGATGTTCTAGAAACATCCCATTTGATCTTTTTTTTATAAACAATATCATGGTTCCATATTTGCTAATGATGATTGAACAGTTCAAATAATTGTGACATTTGAAACATTGAAAAGTTGGTAAAAAATGGAAACCAAAACTGTATTCGTACTCATATACCTGTACCAAAGCCGGCTAATTTCATCGATAACAAATTGAAATAATTATACTAAATATTCATCAATAAGATTACCAAAGTACCTGCTTAACTTCATGAACCATGTAATAAACGACAAAATTGAAATATATCTCTTCAGCATATTTATTGCTGAATTTATTTGTTATACCAGCCGATAGATGGCGGTACAACTACGTTGCTAAGAGTTACTAACAGCCGTCGGCCCAGCGCCAACAGATATGAGCCTCAAACAACAGTAGAGTCTCTCCTTTGATACCCTATAAAAAAGTAAACCAATAATAATAATACATAAACTCAAATTTGCTTCCAATTAGCAGGGTAGGGAACCACCACGCAAAGTCAGGCTAGGAAACACACATTAGACAAAAAGGTTTAAAAGTCGGGAGACTGAAACCAAGTAAGGGGTTTTATAAAACATATGCAGATTGCCAAATGCATGAGGTTGAAGTCCACTCGTTAGTGAGTGGGGGTGGATGGACATGGGGATGACGAGCTATCATATAACGTAAGCTAGTTATATGGCGGCACTTTCGGGGGGCATGGTGTGTCTGTGTGTGCTGTTTTCATCTTCCATTTAGTTATTGGACCGCACCGACCTTATATTTTCGGATTCTGATTGTTACTTCAGATCTGGAAATAGGTCGGCCATTTTCAGGATTTCAGATTGAAAATAATTCATACCGTGTCATCCATTACTGTTATCAAACAAAAAACATTCTAAAAGTTTCTTCAAGATGTTTCATATCAAGTACCCTGAATGTCTCTGGTACATCCCGTATCATCCCACAAACATTCTGATGGGATGTTTATAAGACATCGCAAATGCTGACATGGGTGTTGCCAGAAACATCCCAAGAATGTCCCAAGGAAAATAGGGATTTTCCAGAGATGTTCCTATCATCCCATATGGATGTTTCTACGACGTCTTACAGATGTTATTGTGTTATTAGTTTAAGTTCGGCAAGTCACGGCGTGCGCTCGTATGTATCTCTGCTTAGTGTTTTTAAGTCTTATACAGTGTCATCAAACCGATCAAAGTTTTTATTTGATACCTACCGATCAATTCAGAAAATTATCCTGAATCCGAGGATACAATTATCAAATTGTTTATCGGTGAGTCTCTTCAGTTATAACGTTATTAAAATGCAGTCGATATGTAAATACTGCGTTCAGCATATCACAAAAAAGTCTCCCGGCCTTCAGTGCTCTGGTTTTCGCCAACTCCACTATCACTTCAAGTGTGTAAATTTAACAGTCGAACAGCACAGAGAATAATGTTTTGAAAAAACAAGTGAGTGAATTGAATTTGAAAGTGAACGATATTGAACAAACCTCGAGGCTAAACAATATTGAAATACAAGGCATCCCTGAGAATAGAAATGAGTATCTGAAATCAGTTGTCGGAGAGATATCCCAGTATCTCGACGTCGACATTTCAGATGAAATTGAGACCGTTCATCGTGTGCAATCCAACAAGAATAACGAAAATCGTCCAAGAAACGTGATCGTTAGATTCAACTCTAGAGAACTTAGAGATCAACTGCTGGCCTCAGCTAAAGCGAAGCAGCGGATTAGCGATAATACAATGAGATCAATTAGAGTAAATGACGTATTAGCAAACTTATACAAAAATGAAGATCTCACTCTACAAAATAAAATTATCTTTAAAGAGTCGCGTGAATTTGCAAAGACCAACAATTATAAATTCGTATGGGTAAAGAATGCCAAAATATTCATTCGCAAAGATGACACGTCTCATGCGAAACTTATTCGTAGCTCTTCTTATCTCACTACAGCCTAAATAATTAGATAGCATCTTTATACTTATAATAATTCCTCTATCCTCTACAAATTTATTGTCAGAATGTCCGAGGACTAAGAAGTAAAACAGAAGAATGCAAACTAAACTCGACAATTATAGATGCAGAGTGAAGAAGTTTTCTGTGCTAACCAGTATACAGTATTTCGACGTGATCGTCAAACGACTGCTAGTAAAAAATCCGGAGGAGGAGCTCTGATAGCGATTCGTAAAACATTTAAGACCGTCCTTCAGGTAGAGTGGCAAAGCGATGCTGAAGATATCTGGATCACTGTGTATTGTGAAGGTTCTAATCATAAATTGCATATATGTTGCGTCTATTTGCCCCCAAAAGACGACATTGCTAGAGTTTATTTCACTAGTGAATTGAGTAACATCTCGAGTAACATCCTAGATGTTATATCTGATGACTCTGTTTTAATTTATGGATATTTCAATGTGCCACAAATCGACTGGATCAGAGTTAAACAAAATAATTTTAGCAGACCTTCAAACATCGACGAAAAAACCGCAAGTTTGTTCGATTTGTTATCAGTAAATGAACTCATGCAATTCAATTATATATACAATGCTAACGATAGATTATTAGATTTAATTTTCTATAATAAGGACAACGATGT